TATGAATTAATGGCTCTGTGAAGTGAGACTGCTTTGGAGTTGACATACTTGGAGAAAGAGCTCTGTGTAAGCTCAAAAGTTGTGTCTCACCAACAGAAGTTGGTCCAAGAAAAAATATCACCTCACCCACCTTGTCTCTCTAACATACTGGGCCAAAACTTTATCTTAATCCCATTAGAAGTCCTGTTAAGAACACTGAATGACTTCTGTGAGAGTGTGAGCACCTGTGTAAGTTTGAGGAGAATGTAGCCCATTGTACAGCCATCTATCGATACAGCACTGTGTATTTATCCATTACATAGGTGTAATTGCTATTGTTGTTTTTCCCCTTGAAGCGCACTGGAATTTACCGGGCTGATGTCTTTGACCTTTTCCCTGGCACATTTCAAACTGTGGAAATGCTTCCAAAGTACCCTGGCACCTGGTTACTGCACTGTCATGTGACTGACCATATCCATGGTGGCATGGAAACTACCTACACAGTGCTCCCGAAAGAAGGTAAGACTGGCTAACCTAGATCAATCAGAGGGACATGTTTAAGGATGTATTACTGAATATAGGCCATATCCCAAGAGGTGCTGAGCAGCAGATTATCAGGCCCATGGGGAAGAAGAGAGATGAGAAGGCCTGAGTGTATTACAAAGGACCAAATTTAGCCCTGGGTGAAATTCTGTGCTCTTGTAGGTGCAGCACAGAATTCACAGCCAGAGAGATGGGCATGTTAAGGTAACTTTAAGCAACCCCTGCACTCCTGATTCTGGAGTGCTCCAGAAACCCGGGCCAGGGCAGCCCCCAGTGTAATTTAGACAGCCTAGGGGAGAAGGGGTCAGTTATCCAAGTAAGCTTTTTGGGATAATGATTGTCAGTTTTATTTTGTGTTTGTACAGTGCGTAGTTCAATAGGGACTCCTAGGCACTATCATACCACCAATAAGTTACAGCAGCCCCCTTTGGCTGCCCTGTGGGTAACACTGCCCAGAATCTCCACAGTGCTACATGCCAAGGCCCTGCCCCAACACAACCCCTACATTAAGGCTTACACAGGCAGCCTTGGAACACAGCCTGCAGCTGTCATTCTCAGTTCCTGCATCCAGGGAGGAATTCCCTGATGCATCACAGGATTTTAAATCCTCTTTTTGCCTTTCTGACAGTCTTCTCAGGCATTAAAAGGCCCAGAGTAGGGGTGAGAATCTCATTCCATGTGTAAGCAGGGGCAACTAAAGCAGATAAAAGACTTGATCCCACAAGCAGCTGAATACATACAATTCCATTGGCAACAAACTTCTATTTCTGGCCCTGTACCAGAAACCTTTAATCAATCTGTAGCTTATATATTCCCAAGTGAGAGAGATATTACTATAGTTCTAAGCCAAAGGAAAAGAAAAAAAAGTTATTGTAAACAGGAATGTCAAATATTTGGGTGGAGCATATAGAATTCATGAATTGTCTTATAAAATATGCCATTTTAAATGTATTTTCTAAGCACTGCTGGATTAGTTTTAGGGGACTTGGGCACCTAAATTCTCTTGACTTTCAATGAGATTTAGGCCCTTTTGAAAACATTACCCTGGTTTCTAATGATCTCTAACAAAAATCCAAACTCTTAAATGAAGTTTTTACAATTAAGGTTTAGCAAAAGCTTCCTGCTAACTCTTACGTATATCAAAGGGAGATAAGATATTACTACAGTAATACAAACAAACAAGGCACCCGTTATGATCTAAAGTGTAAAAATACACTTTAGATCGTCATTTCATTTACACTTGTGAATCTGGGCTAAGGCCCCAAGGTTGCAATTACCAAGGCACATGCCCTTTCCATAAATGCATGCATAATTCCATTGAAGTCAATGGAACTGCTCACATGGAGAAGTGTTTAGAGAATTAGGCCCACAGGCAGTCAAATTACACCAGACTCACACCAGTGAAAGTATAATAAAAATATTATCCCTTCAGTGTTCACTCTTACTTAGGAGACAGAATGCTGCCACAGCTAAGTAATGCCATTTCTATAGTATTACAGGCCTTCTCATGCATTTTATATAAATATTTTCCCCATAGCTGTTATGTAAAATTGAAAAGCCCCTATAAAACTAATTTTTTTAAAATTAGTATGTTTTCATAAGGGAGTGTTAATCATATAGAAAAGGTTAGCTTGGGCCTGGAAGGTAAAGAATACAGAACTTTTAAAATAATTGTTTTACAAAAAGCCTGATTCCCCTTTCCACCCCACCCCCAAAACTAGAGAAAATGAATGTCTGGGAGGGGTCTGTAGGTACAGGATATGACAATGGGCAGAAGAACAGATCAAAGAAACAGGAAAAATCTCTTATGCTTGGAAGGGTATTTTAGTTAAGGAGAAGGCTGGCCATCAACATAATAAAAGGAAGATAGTAGTGAAGTTTTTTCCTATCCACCCTCCCCTCCCCAGATATGAGAGTTGAGATCTGATCCTTCAGACAAAAATCTGTCTCACATGCGATTGCTCACAAAAGACAAAGGGGTTTGCAGAATGGGCCCTTATTAAAAACAAGTTTTCCTATTTAAAACAAACACCATGAGCAGATATTTGAGGAATGATTAAATCTTATTTTGAATTCAAATGAGCACCATTTTTAAAAAAACACTCCTAAAAACTTTCCTGTGCTAGAAAGGGGTAAAAGATGTTAAGTTTATAGTAAACACCACAATTAAAAATACCAGAAACTAGGTAATAAAGCATCTTTAACCCTTGATCTATATTTAAAAGTGTACATGATTTAGCATGAATACCAGAAAATGTATCTAACTTTTGTAAATAAATCTTGTTTAGAAAACAGAGTACAAGTATAGCTTATACCAGACTCGTACAGAAAGTAAAAGTTGATTTACACAATATACTGTGAAATATGTAAAACAGATTTTACCCTACACACCTACGTAGTAAAATGGATCCCTCATAATGATACAGAGATTGACTCAAGTCACAACATACAACCCAGTGTGAACTCCCAGCATTTTAAGGTGGGTTTTTGGATTTGGATCCTAACTTCTCCCGAAAATGGGTGCACTGACAAATCTTTTTGTGTTACTTCTCTTACACACGAAAAATAGCTTGTTGCATTGATATGAGGTTTTACAGAAACACTTTTCCCCTTTGCAGAGCAACAGTCTTTGTTCCCAAGGATGTTTGAGCAGTTCACACATAAAATCAAAACAGCCAGAACAGAATGAAGGAATTGGCTTATCACAAGGATTCTCCAAAGTCTTTACTTGATGAAACACTGCTTAAGAAAGGACATCTGGACCACTTGCCTTTTGTGAACCAAGTTGAGAAAGGATCATCTGTCCCACAAGAACAACCCTGGTAACACATGGATCATAGTTTGGAACAGCTCTGTGAATACATAGCCTATAAATTACTCTTTGCATAAATAAAAAACCCTCCTGTATAATTGACCACTGCTTCCTAAAATGCCTTTCGCAGACTCCTTCAGGTATGCCCTTCCCTTGGAGCCAAACTCCCCTCTCTCCCTAGCCTCAGAGACTGCAGCCATCCTCCTTGCAGTCCTGTTTTCTTTCGGCTACCTGGCTTTATACAAGCCCTGGCTGTTCCTGTCCAGGTGGGCTTCACCTGGCTCCTCCTCCAGGTGTAGGTTAGACAATTAATTGGCCACACTAGCCACCTTAACCCCTTCAGGGCCTGGTGTGGGGTGAACACCCACCACACTATGTGACTACAAATTAAAACATAAAATCTGTTTCACAGAGTTCTGTCCCAGCTGCTTTCACCAGAGTTCAAGAGTCACAGGTGTCTCAGACATAATTGGAAATGAACCGATGAAGCAGGTGAGGTGGGATCCACAGAAGTACTTAACTCCCAGTTTTGGCTCCACTATGACCCACAAAATGCCCATCCAACACTGAGGGTGCCTAAACTCACTCAGCACCTAAGTTTTTCAAGGTAAAAGGCCTAACTTCCTGCCTCTGGGCATGAGCAAATGCTGCCTCCCTCTAGGCATCCATGTGCCTATCTCCTACCTAAGCCCCAGAGCTATCCACACATCCAGGGAAGAAAGGCATTCAGCTATCGAAATCACGGGCAGGACCCCATCTGTCAGGCATACTCGGAGGGCACCTACTGGATTGGGTCCCATTCAAAAAAGTTAGGTCGACCCAGCTATGTGACTGGAAAAAATCCACACATCCGACTGATGTAGTTAAATTGACCTAACCCTCTGTGAAGACTGCTAGGTTGATGGAAGAATTCTTCTGTCGACTTGGATACTGCCTCGTGGGGAGGTGGATTAGCTACGCCAGCTGGAGAGCCCCTCCCATTGCTGCAGTGAGTGTCTGCAGTGAAGTGTTTCATGCAGATAAGCCCTAAATTAAGTATTTAGAATCTGGAGGATACTTCCTAACGGCGGTTTGGGAGCGTAAGGGTACATACACCAGCACTTAAAACACTACAGTGGCACAGCTGCAGCTGTACCACCGTAGTGCTTCAATATAAACACTCACTCACTCCACTAACAGGAGAGGTTCGCCCGTTGCTGTAGTTGACCTAGCTACCACATTTTGGGGAGGTGGATTAACAGAAGAATTCTTCCATTGGCCTACCATTGTCTACACCAAGGATTAGGTCGCCATAGCTACATCTCTTAGGGTTGTGAAAAATCCACACTCCTGACAGATACATCTTTCACACCCAGGGCTGTCCCTAGCCATTCCGTCTAGTACACTAGCAAAAACTTTGCCAAGTTCATGTACTGGACAGTGGACTTGTAAGCATCTGCTTTAATATGTGGCCTGACTGGTTCACAGCTTCTGGGTTAGGCCTCAAATCTTGCACCAGGCCCAGCACTCCAGGCTCTCTACTGCAATATGAAATCCAATTAGTCAGCTAATTAGATTCTCAGATGGTTGATCCCTATTGTGATAGTCTGACTGCAATTAGCTCACAGCTGTTTAGAATAGAGTTGTTAGTAACATTGTATAAAAGAACTCTTCTCTTACCATTGAATATTGGAAAACAGTTTAATACAATGAAAATGAAATACTCAACCTTAATTATCACTGTTCATACAATCATTATGACAGTAGTTTTTTTCCCAATTGTATTGCAGTTGAAATGCCTTCTTGGTCTTTCGACTCAGAACAGAGGGGAAAAAATGACTCTGTAATTGAGAGACCCCTTTTCAAAATACATGGTAAAAACAAAGACATAAGACAGCTAGTTTGGTGGGCCATCTAGAAAATAATGTAGCTGGAAAGAAGTGAACCAGAGGTGAAGATGCTTGTTGTCCATTAGAGACTGAATATAGTGATGGGAGAAGGGGAAATGAACAGCAGAAAACATCTGTGACCTACTTACAGAAAGATAGTTATTTCTCTTGGGAACCACTTTCTACACATTTGATGAATAAGACTTGATCCAGCAAAGTCTTGTCCATGTGCAGAACTCTAAGCATGCAAGCAGTCCCCTTAACTTGTTCTTCCAACCTGAATTCAATTGAACTACTCAAGCATGTGCATATCTATAAGTCCATGACAAGTCTCCAGAAATTCCAGTTGGAAGAACAAGTCAATAAGACTACGCACATGCTTAAAGACACCCATGAGCTTACGTATTTTGTGGATTGGGGCCTAACTAGCTGAAGACATGGGATCCAGGAGTGACAGCTTCCATTCCCTGCTTCACCTTTTACATGAACACTATAGTGGGATAGAATTTTGTGCAACTTTAAGTAGTACAATATTCCTTCTGGCTATATTTTTCTCCATGAAGAATACACATTCTCACTCAGGAAATGTCTGAACTTCGTCAACTATTTTGCTGAATAACACAATATTCAGTTCCATAGGATAAACTGGGATTCTTTCGATTTGCCAGTATCAGTGACATTTTATCACTGGGAACGCTTTTCTTTCATTTACAAAATTGATACTCTACCTCAAGTAGTGATTGTCTTCTTATTATACAATAAGGCCAGTTTTTACAATATACCCAGGTAGTTTGCAAGTAGATGGACTCCCACAATACTTCATGTACAATTCCACCATTTAGTTTTGCCTATTTATTCCAGTGCTTTCAAGTCCACATTTTTCATTGTGTTTAAGTCACCAATTTCCTTTTGCTGCACTGAAGTAGATGTGGCAGGAAAAATGCTGCAGTCCCATCCTCCGGTAGAACATTAAGGAAATCCCTTAGTTCCAGTTCCATGGCAACCACTGATAAAGTTTCTGCACAGGGAAAGAAATATAGATGATTTTAAACATAGTATAAGTGCAACGCACTATAGAGCTGATCTTTAATGTCACTAAATCAGCAAAATATTTAAATACTGTGATTATAGTAGATTTAAGAGAAAGACCCAAATAGCAGCAGATACATTTGGCAACTGGGGAACAGTTTGAGAAGTGAGGGTAGCAATTCAGGGTTGTTTATGGATGAAGTATTGACACACACACCATTATAACGTCTATCTGAACTAATCACCTCAACGTACAACACCAAATCCTAGGTGGGTCTCATCTAGCACCTTCAGTGCTGTATAAAATTGAAAGGAAGCATTAAAATGGAGCGGATGGTGTAACACAGTAGTTAGTACTTTGGGAGCAGCCCATGAGACAAAGCTATCTTATTGTAGGCTCTCCTGGGCCAATTAATATCCATTACAATGAGAGGATAATGTGAGCATCTGACAACAGAAGTTTACCACTTTTATGCTTCTAACAGTGATTGCTGCCATGCACTCTATGGCAACCCAGTAGTGACACTCCTCTAGTCACACATTGTGCAGATGTTGTAAAAGGTCTTGTCATAGAAAAAAATGACTAATTTTATTCATCATTCTGAACTGGCTATGAAAGAGTCAAACCACTAGTCTAATTTTTATTTCCTCCATAACAATGAGTAAGGGGACCATGGCAGCTGCCATGGTTGGTCACTGCCCTTCAGCCAAGTTTCCAGAGGAAAAGGGAAAAAAAGTTCCAGTCTCAGGAAAAGAGGAAAATCAAACATTTAGACAAGTCACTTCCTTTGGCTAAGGATCCAAATCCCCCAGAACAAACACTTGACTGCTTCCTCTTGTGTAATCCCAGTGACCACAAGCAACACCATGGCTTCCCTCAGCCAAGAGTCCAGCTATGACATCCTTACTGTCGTTAGAGTCTCTGCACACCAGTACAGTTCTCAATACAAGCCAGGCAGTTATTTCCCCAAGCATTCCTTTCACCTGGTTTGGCTATGGAAATGAGTAATTACACATTACTTTCAACGGATAATTCTGTGATATCTTTACCTGTATTTATATCTGTAATAATCTTTAATTCCTGTCATGCATAATTAGTAGGGCTGTCAAACGATTAAAAAAATTAATCATGATTAATCGCGCTGTTAAACAATAAAATACCATTTATTTAAATATTTTCCAATATATTGTTTTCAATTACAAAACAGAATACAAATACAGTGCTCACTTTATATTTACTTTTGATTACAAATATTGGCACTGTAAAAAAAATAGTATTTTTCAATTCACCTAATATAAGTACTGTAGTGCAATCTCTTTATCATGAAAGTTGAACTTACAAATGTAGAATTATGTACAAAAAATAACTGCATAAAAAAAAAGTAAAAAACTTTAGAGCCTACAAGTCCACTCAGTCCTACTTCTTGTTCAGCCAATTGCTCAGGCAAACAAGTTTGTTTACATTTGCAGGAGATAATGCTGCCCGCTTCTTGCTTACAATGTCACCTGAAAGTGAGAACAGGCACTTGCATGGCACTGTTGTAGCCGGCATTGCAAGATATTTCCATGCCAGATGTGCTAAAGATTCATATGTCCCTTCACGCTTCAACCACCATTCCAGGGGACATGTGTCCATGCTGATGATGGGTTCTGCTTGATTACAATCCAAAGCAATGCAGACCGATATATGTTCATTTTCATTATCTGAGTCAGATGCTACCAACAGAAGGTTGATTTTCTTTTTTAGTGGTTTGGGATCTGTAGTTTCCACATCGGAATGTTGCTCTTTTAGGACTTCTGAAAGCATGCTCCACACCCCATCCCTCTCAGATTTTGGAAGGCACTTCAGATTCTTAAACCTTGGGTTGAGTGCTGTGAGATTTCTAAAGATAGCTACATTGGTACCTTCTTTGCGTTTTGTCAAATCTACAGTGAAAGTGTTCTTAAAATGAACAACATGTACTGGGGTCATCATCTGAGACTGCTATAACATGAAATATATGGCAGAATGCGGGTAAAACAAAGCAGGGGACATACATTTCAAGGAGTTCAGTCAAAAATTTAATTAACACTTTTTTTTAAATGAGCGTCATCAGCATGGAAACATGTCCTCTGGAATGGTGGCTGAAGCATGAAGGGGCATATGAATGTTTAGCGCATCTGGCACACAAATACCTTGCAACGCCAGCTACAAAAGTGCCATGCAAACGCCTGTTCTCACTTTCTGGTGACATTGTAAACAAGAAGGCAGCAGATTATCTCCTGTAAATGTAAACGTACATGTTTGTTTTAGCCATTGGCTGAACAAGAAGTAGGACTGAGTGGACTTGTAGGCTCTGAAGTTTTACATTGTTTTGTTTTTGAGTACAGCTATGTAATAAAAAACCCCTACATTTGTAAGTTGCACTTTCATGGCAAAGAGATTGCATTACAGTACATGTATGAGGTGAATTGAAAAATACTATTTCTTTTATTTATCATTTTTACAGTGCAAATATTTGTAATCAAAAATATACACTGATTTCAATTACAATACAGAATACAATATATATGAAAATGTAGAAAAACGTCAAAAATATTTAATAAATTGTTTAACAGTGTGATTAAAACTGCGATTAATCACGATTAATTTTTTTAATCGTAATTAATTTTAGTTAATTACGTGAGCTAACTGCAATTAATTGACAGCCCTAGTTAAAAAAATAAGGATGTGTGCAAAAGCTTACTGCACATTTCACAGTACTGCTCTGCTAGTCTCTGCTGAGTTACATTATATGTAGAGAAAGATCTTCCTCCCCAAACTGAACGATGGTAAAATACCATGCCGCAGCAGTTTCTGGAGGAAACGGCTTTCAAATACTTTAGATGCAGTTCAAAGGCTTTCGTGTATGGCCTTCAGTTGTAAATCAAATTCTTTACCTTTCAGCGATGAGATGAGAATGGAGTAGTCATCTCCAACATATCTGGTTCGTTTACAAAGTTCAGGAAGCAGTTTGTTCCACCAGAGAGCCTAATTCGTCCAAAAATAAACCCACAGAAGAAAAATAAGTTAGTGGTGACTATGAATAGTAGGTGGTGAACACAAATTTATTTTTAATAAGTACTTTGAACTAACATCAAAGATGGTACAAAAAACAGTGGTGTAAGTTGAGATGGGCCTAGTAATTAATTCGTTTGCACAGTGCTTTGAAATGCAATGTTTTCAGACTTCAGTGTGATCCTTTTTAACCCAGCAAATTAGAGTGATGATAGCACCCCCTAGCCGCTGAAGATAAGGCTATGCCTGTTTCTGACATGCCGTGCATGTGGTTCAGACAAACTACAAACATACATAATTAGTGCAGGGGAAAAAAGTTAATGCAGTATTATGGTTATGGATTTAACAAATAAGGTAAGTCTCTCTTTATAGCCCTGTGCAGTGTGGGTAAAAAAGTGTTCTAGGAGAACTTTGTGCTTTTATGTTTCTTGACATACCCCTTCCACCGCAAATAATCTTAATGTTGCATGAATACACAATTTAAATTTTAATAATGCAAAAAGCTATTAATTTTATGTTTACAAAGACTGAGAGGAGGAAAGAAAACACTATCCATCTCTCTTCAAACTTTGTGGTCTCTTTCTCTTCTTCCCTTAGTCTTTGCCTGCAGTATTGCAAGGCTACAATTACCCCAGATATTGGTTTTCTCTGTTTCACTTCTTGATCAAGGGCCAAAAGGGAGCACACATGAGCCCCAGCTGTACTGTACTGACTGGGGTTCCGGCATTTCCACTTGCTGGAGTGTCTCCGCCTTAAGTTATGTCCACTATTAACTGAACTATTGCCTTAGTGAAGGGAGGCAAATAGACCCCCAAGGATCTGTACTGGGACAAGTGCTGCTCAACATATTCATAAATGATCTAGAAAAGGGGGTAAACAGCAAAGTGGCAAAGTTTGCAGATACAAAATTACTCAAGATAGTGAAGTCGAAAAGCTGACTGTGAAGAGTTACAAAGGCATCTCATAAAACTGGGGGACTGGGCAACAAAATGGCAGACGAAATTCAGTGTTGATAAGTACAAAGTAATGCACATTGGAAAACATAACCCAACTATACATACAAAATGATGGGGTCTCAATTAGCTGTTATCACTCAAGAAAGATCTTGGCATCATTATGAATAGTTCTCTGAAAACATCTGTTCATGGTGTAGTGGCAGTTAAAGCTAACAGTGTTAGGACACATTAGGAAAGGGACAGATAATAAGACAGAAAATATCATAATGCCACTATATAACTTCATGCTACGCCCACACCTTGAATACTGCATGCAGTTCTGGTTATCCCATCTCAAAAAAAGTACATATTAGAATTGGAAAAAGTAACAAGAGGGGCAACAAAAGTTACTAGAGGTACAGAACAGCTTCCAGATGAGGAGATATTAAAAAGACTGGGATGGTTTAGCTTAGAAAAGACGACTAAGGAGGGATATGATCGATGTCTATAAAATCATGAATGGTGTAGAGAAAGTGAATGAGGAAGTATTATTTATCCTTTCACATAACACAAGAACCACAGGTCACCCAATGAAATTAATAGGCAGCAGATTTAATACAAACACAAGGAAGTACTTCCTCCTACAACACAGTTAACCTGTGGAACTCATAGAAAGGGGATGTTGTGAAGGCCAAAAAATATAACTGTGTTAAAAAAAGAATAGACAAGCTCAAGAGGATACGCGCATCAATGACTGTTAGCCAAGATGGTCAGGGATGCAACCCTATCCTCTGGGTGTCCCCAAACCTCTGTGCTAGAACCTGGGACTGGACAACAAGGGATAGATCACTCGATAATGGCCCTCTTCTGTTCCCTCTGAAGCATCTGGTACCAGACACTGTTAGAAGACTGTATACTGGGCTAGATGGACCATTAGTCTTACCCAGTATGGCTAGTCTTATGTTAGCAGTTAATTGGCAGGGAGTGGGGGAAAACCATGGCAGTACTTCTGGAGCCTTGACCAGAATTGGAGAGATCAAGCTCTTCCTCAAATATTATAGGCCACGGGGGAATATTAGGCAATAAGTATACAGTTCGGATGTTATTAGGGAGCAGGGAACATACTTAATCATGGCATTTTCAGACATTAATAATAATTTTTTTCTTTTTATTGTGGCAAGTTTCACATGAAAAGTTCAGCTACTTCTGAGTTACTTGTAAGCTAAAATATACTCAGCTCTCTCTGTTTACAGCAGATCAGTGTATTATTCCCCTCTCTGCTAGCAAGTAACTCAGCCATCTGAACATTTTTTCCACAACCTTAATATAAAATAAAATATCACAACTTCAGGATGAAACCAGTCTGGAAAACCTCAGCCCAAAGAGTTTTTCAGAAAGAGGGCCTATAATAAAATGTCATATATAATCCATATTTCTAAGTAACTTTGACCAGGAGCATCTGCAGTAAGAACTACCCTCATAAAAACACAAAAGCAAAAATGGGACATTTATATGAATGTGACTTGAACTCAGTCAATGAAATCTATGAATTTTAAGGGTAAGGATGAAACTCCTATCTTGTCTCATTAAACTTGTGCACTGCAAGTATCTAAGCAACAGGTATTTATGACCTTCGGTGCTGTAACACTTGGGAAAAGACGGTCCAACCCTGCTCCCATTAATGGGAATTTGGCCATAAAATTCAATGCAAGCAGTTTCAGGTTCAGAGTGAGTTGAGGATGGGAGTTTCAACTTTAATAGAAATCGGTGCCATTTGATTATCTCTGCAGTGTAGTTCAAGTTCTCCTATGCACAGCTAACAACTACTGAAAAGAAAGAGAAAGAAAGACTACAATAAATTACTAGATTAGCATTTTAAAAGCTCACCCGATTTTCATCTTTCAGCTCATGCTGGGCATAGGGTATGAGTGCTTCAGGACACTTCTCTAGGAGCTGGTCAATGGATTTCTCATAGTCTCCTACCCCCGTAGTGCAAAGAACATGGACACTGAGACCAGCATTACTGTCTTCGGATAATGGCTCCAAGAACGGCAGAACTGAAGCTATGTCGATTGATGGACCACATAAAAGAGACTGAGGAGAAGAGGAAAACTTACCATTTGGATGTCAAAACAGACAAAATGCTCACATGCACACAAAATTAATTTAAAAAGAAATAGTTTTAAGTCTTTCTGATATTGCTTGGTTAAACAATTAGGCCAAAAATACTGAGTAGAATGTAAGTATACATGACCATTATTTACATAATTCTCTGATTATTTTCTCTCCCATCATTTGCACCATTCCTCTTTCATAGTTCAGTTTGACTGACAGAGGTATTGTTTTAACAACAGCTTTACATCATATCTATATTCATCAGTAACACGCTGGACTGTTTAGCAAGAGGTTTAAACTGTCTTACTTCATGTAGACCCAGTGCGAACTAAATTCTGCCCACCCTAAGAACCAGAATCACCTAAGAACTTATGCAGGATTGTTTGATCATTGTAAACAAGGCCTCCACTAAACCTGGTGTAGTTCCTGTACTCAGTCACCCGAGCTGCCATTGCTCTACAAGAAAGTACACAGCCTTGGTATTGACAGTTCACCCCTATCCCCCTTGATTTAAAACTAGTTTTTTCCCTACAGCGGAGATATTACTCAATTTATTATGTGGTCCTCTGTCACAGATCCTAGCGAGCACCGTCCCCAGCAGCTACCCACTAGGACTGCTCTGAGGGGAATACAAACCCTTGCTACTCTGGATCCCCACGATGTTTCAAGCTCCTCAAGCTGGGGCGGGGGAGGCGCGCAAAAATTTTGGCCTGAGGGCCGCATCGGGTTTCGGAAATCGTACCGAGGGCTGGTTAGGGGAGGCTGTGCCTCCCCAAACAGCGAGGTATGGCCCATCCCCTGTCTGCCCCCCACCCCTGCTTCTCGCCCCCTGATGCGGCCCCCCTGGGACCCGTGCCCCATCCAACCCCCCCTGTTCCCTGATGGTCCCCCCGGGACTCCTGCCCCATCCAACCACCCCTTCTCCCTGTCCCCTGACTGCCCCCAGAACCCTTGCCCCTGACTGCCCCATCCAACCCCCCCTTCCTCACTGCCTCCCCAGAACTCCTGCCCCATCCAACCACCCCTTCTCCCTGTCCCCTGACTGCTCCTGGAACCCCTGCCCCTGACTGCCCCCTGCATACCTGTAGTTTTGAAAGATCTTCAGGATACTTATCACATGCAGGTCCCAATGACATTATGAAGGTCACCCAAGGGAAAATTAACCCATAATGATTACAGGAGTTTATCTAGAAAAAAAATTTCAAATCAATATGGTCACATATGAAACCCATTCCAGTGAAGGAAATCTCTGAATAAAGGGTGCCATTTTAGAAAAGTAGCTAGTTTCTATCTTGGGTAAATATTCAAACTAGAGTAGGTGAATTAAGTATGCCTTGAAGCCTAATGCGGTCCAATGATTTATTTCACATTTGTTAGTTAGAAGCCTCTCCTACCACACATAGGAGCTCATGAAAGCTTATGCTCAAACAAATTGGTTAGTCTCTCAGGTTAGTCTCACAAGTACTCCTTTTCTTTTTGCGAATACAGACTAACACGGCTGTTACTCTGAAACCTTACATGCACTGTCTGTCTCGTTCGAATGTATATGCAGTGTATAATTACCAGATCCTCTGTTGTTTTCAGTGGTTTGGTATCAGGAAGCTGCTTCCTCGATAGTCTCCAAATGTACTGTGAAGTAAGCTTGAATAAGACCTCCTGGAGTATTTCTTTCTCAGAGCCTGCTACAAGGAGGGCTTCCCAGAAGTCTACTAAGAGCTGAGGGGTAGTATCTTCATTCTTCCCACAAAGCATCTGAGCACCACAGAAGATTCAAATATTAATGAAAATCAAGATGACTATTACATTGTCTCATTGTTTACCTGTACTCCCTTGTTGGTCATGTCTTATATTGTAAGCTCCTTGGGGCAGGGGGCCATCTTTGTTCTGTGTTTGTACCTACCCCAATGGGGTCCCGGTCCATAACTAGGGCTCCTAGGTGCTAAGGTAAGATCATAGCAACAGCAACAGAAGTCTGAATGAAAAAAAGTTTCAATGGACAAGATTAAGTTTCCCTCTACTCGTCATAGTTGAGTGTGCTCCTGCTTTTGTGTAATCCTGATGTATTTCTAGTACATGTGATCCCAGATACTGTGGCGATGCACAATGCAGAAGTGCATGCAACATATTTAAACTCTTGATTCCGTAATGAATAGATTTGGTATGCAAGAAACACGTTCCTTCATGAGTCTTTATTCCGCTATCAATGGTGGTCACACTGTAAAATGTTTAAAGAGCCAAAATGCTGGAGCCATCTAAAATATATCCACACCTAAGCAAGTCCCCTTTGAAGAGTCATTCTAATCAGAGAGTTGGGGCTAACTTAAAGGAAGCACTCCCCGGTTCACTTGGCAGTGGGAGCTAATCATAGGGCTCTGTGAGGAGTTTGGAGGACTGCACCAAGGGGGACCCCATCACCATTGAACCTTTCCTTGGGCTTTTAAATGCTGGCCGGACAGGTTGGGAACCTTGATTACTGCATTTACACTGAACCCCTAAACTTGAAACCAACTACATTAACCTTAACTACACTAGCTAGATCTTTAATTTCACGAGTGACTACATAGGATGAATATTTAGAATGATAGAAGTGAGATCATAAAAGGCCTGGAGGTGTGGTTGGGATGGAGGTAATTTGGCTCTAAAATGAGCGAATCCCCTTATAATGAAGAGTAGTCAAGATCTGTGGAGCAATAACTCCTTAATTCTAATTTCTGCTTTGACACAGTCTCTTTTGAGGCCAGGAATAAGCCACTTGTTCTAGTTTTTCCATCTGTAATGTGAGGATAGGCCAGCCTCCCTTAGGTTTACGAGGACTAATACTTCATTTGTAAAGTGGTTTTGAATACGTACATAGAAGATTATGTAGCGTCACATCTGATTTGATATCCTTTAGAAAAGAATTTGTATGCTACGTTATTAATCCTGGCTGCAATTTTCAGAAGGGGCCCAAGGGAGTTATTTACCCAATTCCTATTAAATTTTGATAGGCGCTGGATGCCTACCTCCCTTAGCTGCCTTTGAAAATCCCAGTCTCCAAGATCAATGTGTGCTTCATTGAACTGATGGTTGCAGAACATAAAGACGAATTTAATGTATTTCTTTGGCTAAATTTAATGGCTGGGCTGTTCACAAAAAACTCAGTTTCTTACTCCAGTTAAAATTTCTGTCAAGCTTGGTCAAGCTGAGCTTTCATAACATTTTTCCTGTTGTAACTCTGAGGACCACTCTGATTGTTTTGGTCATCTCTAGTTGTTAACACCAGGCATGGGCTTTGTAGAAGCTAAAAAAAAAAAAAAAAAAAAAAGCAACAACCCTGCAAACAGACAAACCTCAAAGTAAGAGTCTGCTTCTTCCAATTCAACTTTACTGTTTTCATGTAAAGCCAACATCGAAGCCACCAGCAACCCAGGCCGCGTCTCCTTCAAGTAAACAGCAAGTTCGGTTGGAACAATCCGCCCTTCTCTCTGCTGCCTCAGAAGTCTTGGTTCCCCAATAAAGCCATATGCCAGTCTCATCTACAGACACAGCCATTTACAAGTTAGGCAAAGAATTCAATCCTTCCCAAACTGAGGGCTTACTCAAGCAGTCTGGCTTATGTAGGTGAAGTGCAGGGAGGATATGGGGAGTGGACTACATTCCTTCTCACTGGGCCAAACCATGGGGCTGTAGTGCAGCTCCCTAAAGCTGCTACTTGAAGCTATGCACAGGAGAAATGGCTGCAGATACTCTGCATCACTTGCGTGGACACTTAGGCCACTGGGTCTGTAGAATCTTGGATCTCAGCCATGTGTAGCCCACAGTGCTGCCCTATACATGGCTGACATCCAAGGTGTGCCGGGGTTGCAGGCCCATCATGTGCCTTATATGGCACAAGGACTTTGCACTGGTCCTCCATAATTTACCCTTAATGTTGTAAGACTTTATTCCCTTTGTTCTTGCTCCATCTTAGGGATCTTCCAGTTCCATGAGTCTGAACTTTACTCACTACACACACACACACACACACAGAGAAAACTAGATTTGACTGTAAACCAAAACCAATGCATTAGGCGCTTTTGAAAACCTCACCCAAATGGCCTTCAATGAGACTTGTGCTCCCAAATCAATAAGGTACTTTTGAAAATACTACCCATGAATAATAAAAATTAATTTGCAGCAGTATATATTGTAATACCCCTTGCTTCCAGGGGGCTTAAACGGGCTTGCACTTTCCAAGAGAAGGCTTTCAGAGAGTCAAAGAGTAGGCATCTTTGCAACTCAGACAGATTCAGGAAAAGTACTTTTTATTCATCAGCTGCTGCTGTTTATGCAGCAAACATAAATGATCATAGATTAACCTGGGGTCTGAGGCTCTCTTTACTCTCTAGGACCTACCTTGTTCCTCATTTATATTACTTCATCTCTTTCTAACTGGATGCAAAAGTACTGATGATCATGCTTTGCTGCGGAGGAGACAGCAGGTGGTGCTGAACAACACTATAGCTGATGTTTAACATATCCTAACCTCCATACTCTGCAGTTCAGAAATCAAGGCTGAGCATGTACTTAGTGATGGTTCTGGCATCAACCCCAGGCTGTGATGCACTCATGGCCTTATTTTCTCCCCAAAATTAGACACTTTGACTTCCCTTCCAAAGCCATTTTTAAACCGGATTTAAAAAAACAAAAGGGATGAGCTCACTCAAGAGCCTGACACAGTCCAATCTCTCTTGCTCTCTTGCAATACTCGTCTTTAAGTGCCCTGACCAACCCTAACAACTACTAGTTTGTGGCATTTAACCTCACACATGGTGATTTGGACTGAAACATTGACATCAGGGTCAGATTTAGTCAGAGTATAATGACCTCCCTTCAAAGTGTCTGTAAATCCATACCGACGACGACTGATATCAAGCTGTGCTGCACTACATTTTCTTCCGTTAAACAGGATTCCTACTGTAACTGCACCAAAGCACATTCTCCTCCTCTCTTAATAAGGACAAAGTGCCTTGACTACAGTCAAACAGAGGAGAGCAGTGGACTGGATACAGGAAACTCTACAGCCATGACATGGAGATCCTGCCCACAGCTCTTCACACACAAACACCAAGGACTTTTGGTGTGCAAACCAAGGGTCAGGTGGAACTATGCAACCTCTGCTCCACGGAGGGCGGGTGGGTGGGGGGAGCACAGGGGCTGCAGAAGCTACTATGCTCCAACGAATATTTAATTTATTTACTGTACTTTGATTTAGAAACACTTACGTGTTTTGTGATTAAATATTTCAATTTTAATAATATTTAATATTAAAGTAGTAGTTTAATTATATGCCCATGTGTATATTAATGGGAATTCTAGCTTCCCTGGAGCACAACCTAAACAAACCCAACACATAACCCCTCAACCCACATCCTCCCAGATGCCCAATAAAGACCATTAAGTGACTGGGGGAAGAGCAAGATTTCCCTCTGCCATGAGAGACCCAATTCAGCTGGTTTCGGTTAACAGAGAATCTGGTACTAAATGGGAAGCGGACTACATGAGCAGCATTCTGTACCTCTGTAAAACAGTCCATCTCATTTTTATATGCCTCTAGGTCTCCCTTTTTCAGAGCCATGGCAGCTTTGGTTAGCGTCAATACCACTGATGGCACAATCAGTTCCACTTTCTGCAAAAGCTCCATTGCCATCAAGGGACATACATTCTTCATGCAGGAACTGCAGAGCACATGGGGCAGCTGGTTTGGTTCAGCGAGATAGAATATTTGGAGCACTTTGGCTGCTGATTCCTATTAAAATAAAAGCCATTTAAAATAATCTTAGCCTCCTGAATATAGATTTTTATTTATTAATTCCAATGTAACTGCTGATGTGTAGAAATGGTACAGACTTGCTTTCAAACATAGGGGCATACTGTAGTTGGTAAGCCACAGCGGTAGGGGAAAGAAACTCTACCTGACAACATGTCCCCAGAGACATTCTGTCAACTCGACCAAAATTCCTCTGCAGGGCTGGGAGAGCAGGCATGGAGTTTCAGCACCCTTTAAAGGTGTCATTTGGAGATGTGGCTTGGGCTCGGTTCATTACATTGATGGGGTAGCAAAAAAAGTTTGGACCGAGACTTTCCTAGCATGTTAGTATCCCCAGCCTTGGTTGGAACCCTGTCTCGAGCAAATGTTTACGCATCATGACCACAAAAACTACAATACATTCTTCTGAGGAGAGTCCTGAACAGGAAATGTCATTGGTAATCTCTTTGTGTTTACAGAAATTATGTCTTGTTTATATTTGGTCGGCAAAACTAAGATGGATCCCCCTTGTGCCTCTCACACGCAAAGGAGAATAATCATGAACCAACAGATATGGAGATTTCAAAATTTAAGCAATGCTTCCTTTATAAATGTCCCAAGTTCCTCGGAATAGGAAATAAGCAGTAGATTAAAGAGAAAGTTCCTATTCTTACTTTGCTTAACTCTTCATTTAAATCTTCATAAAGAGAATGATTTAAGTAAAAGATAAATCCTTTTTCGTATTTCTGTGTTCCACCCTCTACCACTGAGTCTATTCTCTTCAAAACTTCAGTTATGGATAAGCCAGACATCTTGTAGTAAGGCAGGGCAAGATGGGAATCCTTTATGTCAAACCTGAAAGCAATGGGGGAAAAAAGAATTGGGGATCTTTGCAGCAATAATCTTACAGAAAAAAAAAGGATTTCACCCTGATCTGTAAAGTGTTTCAGGCTGCTACATATTTCTACTCCATACTTAAGCTAAGACTACAAGTCTAATGAATGAGAAACCAAACTGAGATGAAAATCTTTACAGTCAGCCCAGAGATTGTATATGCAGTGCAAGTGTAAAATGGTGAAGAAAACAAGCGATCCTAAAATTCTTAAAATTGACCTAGGAGGCCATCCTGGGAAACCCAAAATTAACACCTTTCAAAATACAAACCTGCTGTAACAGTCTCCTAGGTGAGCACAACTTTCTCTGAATGCTGCCAGGAGCTTCTCTTTCTCTTCTGAGTCTATCAGACTGGGGTCCATTAGAGCTGCTCTGACTAACAAGTGAGCCTCACTTAGAAGATGGATGCAACTCTCTGTTCTTACATTTTCATATGTCTTACTGTAGTCTACCTAAAACAAATTAAATAAATACTTAGGTCTTTAGCCCACAAGGCAGAATGTTTATAAACAGTTTTAAAGTTGGCAGAAGCAATTTTAAATCATGATAGATTACATGCTTCATGAATACATGTATATGCATGAATACATGATAGGATATCTTGAGCAAAGAAGTATTTCAGATATCTAATCCACAACATGATGCTTTTATCACCAATAATCAAACAGGAATTGAGCAATACCATTTCTTTATAAAGCTGAATGGTTGAAATAGTGTTCACAATATATAAATTCCAGCCAGGTTCAGACTCGGGTGGAGTCTTGAGTTTGACACTGTCAGCCTTTCTGGAACTGAAATGAGAGAAGGAAAAGAATGGAGCCATTGCTGTCCAAATAAAAATTATGTGACTGAACATAAAAGCTTTATATCACTGACTCACTAAACTAATATCTGCATGAAGCGAACAGAATCAGAAACAACTCACACACATGCATAGATATCTTTTAGATCTTGTCTACATCTGAAAGTTAATTTGGATAAAGATAGGGAGTACAATAGCTATCCCTAAATAACTCCATGTGTAGACAAGTCCATAGGCTATAAGGTCTTGTGGGCAGGAACTGCTGGACAGATCCTTAGCTGTACAATTTACATCACTGACTTCAACGGAGCTAAAGATTTATATAAGCTGAGGATCTGTACCTGTGATTTTACATGCATCTCACACAGCATTCAGCACTCTTCTACCACTTTAGTAACTTTTACAGGGGTCAAAAAAATCCTTGAAAATTAATTTTTTCATCTCAGGTATTGGCAAGGTCCCTAATATTTTGAAGTTCTAGTATTCTGGGAGGTCACAACTTAGTTCGCTATTTTTCGATAGTTGTACTTATGCCATTTTCTTATGTGATATGATGTGAAGTCATTTAGACACCTTTCTTTTCAACTGACTATAGCTGCTGAAATACAGAGTTACATGTCTAAGTCAATTTGATTGATAAATGCGTAGTTCAGATAGCTGTGGCAGAGAACTCTAGTAAGAGCCCCTGCAATATAGAAAGTAGTATATCATACTGCGCTTTCAGTTAGAACCTTGCAACCCTAATGACTTCATATGTGCAACCGAGCATATTTTGGCCCAATGACTTCTGCTATTTTTGCTATACCTCACTACAATGATGCATTAGACTTTGTTCTCTGGGACAGAAATACACGGTCCTCCTCAGAATACATCCCAATCTTTGGCAATATATGCCCCCAAAACCTGTATGAGAACTACACCTTGTTCTGTGCTGTGATACATCTATCTCAGCAGTCTAGCATTTGTCATGCAGAAACACAAATATATCTATAATGTGTATTTAAGGTAAAGAAAGTAGGGATAAAAAGCATATTTATTTCTCATATCGTAACACACTGCCTCTTTGGAGGGTACTAAATTTTTCAGCATCTTGAGTAATTTATACACTAGGCTACAGACATTTATAAGCCTTCCTCTACCCTTTCCACAATTTTACAAGACAATCCATTAGAATAAGGACCATTTCATCTGGTGTGTTAAGGCTCAATAAAAATTTATAATCTTGATTACTATTCTCATCCTGAGACTAATTATATTTTCAACCGCCCTTTCATATACACTCCTTACCCTAACAAGCCAAAATTGCCTCTTTCATGAAATGGAACACTGAAATACGGCACTTACAGGACCCTTCTTGGAGGCTTTCTTCTTTCAGTAATATCTTCACTATCTGCCTTAGTCAGAAGAATTACATGGTTGTTGAAGTGACAAATAGCTTTCAGCCCTATAAAAAGCTGCATTCTTAATGTACAGACATCTAGAGACACAGGTGGGCAAGCCTGTAAAGGAAAGAATTACTTCAGGGTTAAAGAACCCAAGGGTCAATAATTAACAAGATAGAAACAAAAATCTGAATTCATAAAGTTACACTTTAAACAGTTTAACAGTTTATGTATTTAAAATTAGATAAAAAACTAAATTAAAAGAACATTATTGTTACAAAGCCAAGAACTCAAAAGTTAGGAAATGCCAGAATTATGGTTGCTAATAGAGTGAGGGTTGTAAAAACAAACAAACCAACCCTTTTTAAAAACATTGGGAAAACATTTATTTCCCTAACCTTATTCTTAGAATTAGCTGAACAGGTTTAGCTGAAGTGTCCCAAAAAAAGTCAGCCTGAGGCACCCCACATAGAAAATTGCAGCCTGAATGGGGCTTAAATTTGGCAAAGATACAAGGCACTGAAAGCAACAGGGTGTATACAACATTAAAATATGACTTTTAAAGAGGTTTATTATTTCAAAATAAACCTAAATAAAAAATACATTTGAAATTTAGGACAGCCTATGTTAAGGACTAAGCTCACTATAAAACTATTTATCATTCAAATTAAAAAAAGTTAGTATCAATGAGACTGCCTCAATTTTTTTAATTAAAGGGTACTGCCTTTTTAATCATATCGAATCAGGGGAAGACACCTAACTTTTGAAGTCAACTCAAGCTTCATGAATATGTCACAATGGCATGTACTGAAGAAAGTATTTATGTTATGTTCGGTCTTTACAGTGGAGCAAATACTGGTATTACAATTTTCCAAATGTAAATATTTTCAGTTTGTGTTGAGGAAAGATTTTGATTTTAATTATTTTTGGTTTCAGTTTATCTACCAGACAGAATATTTTCTTCATTTAGACTAGCTGAAAAAAAGCAGGAAAACTTGTTTTCCTCTTTCAGTTTGAATAAAATCCATGAAGAAAAAGGGCAGATCTACTAAATCTCAGAATTTGAAGGACAGGAGGCCAGATTTTCAGAGATATTTAGGCACCTAGTAGTATTTTCAAAAAGGCCTAAGTTACACCGCTTCCAATGACAGTTAGGTGTGTAATCTGCTTAGACATTTTTGAAAAACACTACTATGTGCCCAAAATAGCTTGAAAATCTGGCCCATGGCAACCAGAAACAGTCCATTAACTAATTACAAAGAAAATTATTAACTGTTTACTAAATCAGTTTTTTAAATGCAAAAACATTTTTTGATAAACATACTTTTTCTTGTGTACCCCGCACATTTAAGGTAGCTTGATGTAACTAGCACATTTTAAAATATTGGTTTTGTGAAACTTTAATGCAATTCCAATTCTCATCCAATTGTAGATTAACACAAGTCCTGAAGGGGGAAATCATCATGTAGTAAATAAGTGCATCATTCACTATTTTCTAACATAATAAAAATGCAAACATTAAGATTTAACATGCATTTATTCAGCTATATAAACTGCTTAAAGAAATATGTATAGATACTGTGCATCTGCCTGATTAGCAAAAAGTACCAAATTTAGTGTAAAGGCTGTATTAGCTGCAAATCAACATGCTTTCATGGTTGTACCCATCAATGAGAACAAATGCAAAACAAGATTAAAACTGATTACATAAATAAGTTTCCTGCTTGCTGATTTAAATTGTGATTAAAATCAGTGATTTAAAAAAAAAAAAAAAAAAAACCCACCACAAATACAACAATCCACCCTGGACAACAGGGTCTTATAACAGAAAATGTCAGGCAACCTTAACTATAGGAACCCAACATGAGATGCCTATAGTGTATAAACTAACAAAAACACTTACATTACACACAATATTCTGTAATATAACACTTAATTCCTGATTCGCTAAACTCTTAAACTGGTTTGTACCTACCATTTAAGCACCATTTTATCCTATATATTGGGCCTAAGGCAAAATGAGTCTGCCTGAACAGCATTTTGGATGAACAGTTTCAGGAGAATGAGAAGATGGCGTATTCCCAAAGGATTAAATAGGCATAAAGTGAATCCACTTAGTCAAGCAACTATACCTGGTTATATTGACTATCAATCAAGTAGATTATGTGCTTCTTAGAGAAATTGCCAAGATTTTTACTAGGTTATTTTAGTCACACACACACACACACACAGTTCAGACTCGCATACACCATTTATATGAAAGACACTCTCATATTGAAAGACACCTTCTATTTCACGGGATAGTGCAGGGATCAGCAACCTTTGGCCCGCAGCCCACCAGGGTAAGCCCCCTGGTGGGCCGGGCCAGTTTGTTTACTTGCCGCATCTGCAGGTTCGGCCAATCGCAGCTCCCACTGGTCGTGGTTCGCCGCTCTGGGCCAATGGGGGCTGCAAGAAACGGCACAGGCTGAGGGATGTGCTGTCCACTACTTCCCGCAGTCCCCATTGGCCTGGAGTGGCGAACTGCGGCCAGCGGAAGCCGCAATTGGCCGAACCTGCGGATGCAGCAAGTAAACAAACTGGCCCAGCCCACCAGGGGACTTACCCTGGAGGGCCGCGTGCCAAAGGTTGCCGATCCCTAGTATAGTGCCTGTTCAGAGCTCTACAACTTCCCTCTCTCAGCAACCTACATGCCAACCAATATATGTTAAAAGCATATAGGAAAGTCCCCAAAAATATGCTTAAAACATGCTTCAACCTTTCTGCCCTAATAATAAACATATAGATATTAATTCAGTCCTGCATAATTCAACAATTTATAACTGAAACAATTTGAAGAATGGGAAGTCTAAGCCTCTAATGGATTGAAAACCTTACTTGCAAAGACTCAAACTCAGAGGCCTATGTTTCTCCTACAACAGCTGAGGACACCTCAAAAAAACAGCTGAGAAGAGAGGGCTTCCGGGTATATTTTCTACATCACTTTAGGCTTCAGAAAAGTAATCAGCTGCCACAAGGTGAACTTTGAACCTGAATTCAGGTCTTGGCAGGAAAGTAGGCACTTACATTCCATTATTATTATTAGTTAAAAGTTACAATAAATAAATACACATTTGTAAAGCCTTCATAAATATTCTGTTAATGATTTAGGATTTTAAGGAGCAATAGTAGATCATGTTTCAGCTACAACTTCCACACCCAGTAGAACAGAGGAATGTACCACTGTGAAATATTAAAGTCAAACCATTAATGCTTTCTTGTGTTACTAGGCTCTATAAGGTGAAGCAATTAAGTAAGATGTAAAGAGAAGGCATACAGCAGTGTGAGGAAGATAAATGCCCTTTTGGTACCCACATTTGCTTTTTAAGTTTTGCATCTGTCATGAGACTATTAGGAGCGCACCTTCATGGTTGTATCAATGTATGGATCCTCCTCACGAGCTGCTGCTGCACTGCATCGTACTGTGAAACACTGCAAGCTGTTACTAAGGCAGAGAAATGACAATATTGATTAAAAAGAAGATTTGGTTGCTTAGTTATTGCCAGAGTACACATGTTTTCAAAAGTTTCCCTTGTGTGGTTTGAGCCATAGAGTGGAAGCAGAAGCACTGTCATATAAGCAAGCCTAGGAAGTTGCATTTAAAGGTGTGAAGACAACTTACTTAGGGAGATGATGAAAAGCAGATAAGATCAGGGAACATAAGAATCAAAGTTATAACATAGTACCTTGTAATAACATGTAGGAATTGTGAGGTAAGAACTGCCTGCTGAGATTTTTCCGAGTACTGATAGGTAGAAAGCAGCTCTACTAAGCTCCCAACAGCATAGAGATACCCAGCATGCGGCAAGGAGAAAAAACAGAAGACACTCAGCAATTCTTTCTTGGCTGCAGTTTTTCCATCGACTGCCATGGAACTTCCTGCACATAACAAAAAACACAACTATTGCTAATGTTTGATTTACCATGTACTTTACATTCATATCTAGCGGTATTTGGAACGTTTACTCCATTACAACTACATACATGAAGTTTCTACGGTTTGTTATAGGTAGCCTAGCATCTTATCATAACATTAACAGTAATTTAAACAACCTTTGTGAGCATCGCTCTTGTGCCACAAAATGTCAGTTTGCCACACAGAAAGATTAAGTTTAAATCAATGGTTTTATTAATACTCTACAGCAGGGGTCAGCAACCTTTCAGAAGTGGTGTGCCGAGTCTTCCTTTATTCACTTTAATTTAAGGGTTCGTGTGCCGGTAATACATTTTAACGTTTTTTAGAAGGTCTCTCTCTCTCTCTATAAGTCTATATAATATATACCTAAACTATTGTTGTATTGTAAAATAAACAAGGTTTTCAAAATGTTTAAGAAGCTTCATTTAAAATTAAATTAAAATGTTGATCTTACACTGCCAGCCCGCTGCTGATCTGGGGTTCCCTTCACCTAGGCCGGCAGTGGGCTGAGTGGGGCCTGCGGCCGGGAACCTGGTTGGCAAGGGGCCGGCAGCCAGAACCCCAGACTGGCAGCAGGCTGAGCGGCTCAGCCCGCTGCCGCTCAGGGGTTCCATTCGCCGGCTCCTGCCAGCTGGGATCCCGGCTGCCGGACCCGCGGTCCTGGCCCTGCCCACATACAGTGGGTACCTACCTTCTCCCTGGTTCTGGCCATTCTCTTCCTCTCTCTCTGCACTGAGCTGAGGGTGGGAGTGCACTGAGCACAGGGCTGGGGGTAAAGGAGCAGGCTGGGGGTTGGGGTGTAGGGTCTGGCCAGAAGCTAGAATGAGGGAGGGGGCTCAGGGTTGGGGCAGGAGGTTTGGCTGTGGAGCGCTTACCTGGGCAGCTCCCATTTGGTGGGAGGGGTGCAGGTGGGAATGTGGCGGGGGTGGAGGTGCAGGAGCTCCCATTTGGTGCTCAGGGTGGGAATGTGAGGGGTGCATGGAGTGGGGGGGTTCGGTATGTGGGGGGGTGCAAGAGTCAGGGCAGAGGGCTGGGGGCATGTGAGGGGGGTGCAGGTGTCAGGGCATGCGGTGTGGGGGGCCTGGGTATGTGTGGGGGTGCCAGAGTCAGGGCTGGGATCGTGGGGGGAGGTGAAGGAGTCAAGCAGAGGGCTGGGTGTGTTTGAGGGGGGTACAGGGCTCAGGGCAGGGGCTTTGGGGGCGTGCGGGGCTGCAGGGCTCAGGGCAGAGGGCTGGGTGTGTGTGAGGGGGGCTCAGGGCAGAGGGCTGGAGGGGATATGCCCCGCTTCCCCAAGGCCCTGCCCCCGCTTTTTCTCTGCCTCCGCTGGGAGCAACGAGCAGGCTGGCAGGGAGGGAGGGAGGGGCAGGAACCCAGCACACTGCAGGAAGAGGCAGGGGAGCCGGCAGGACCAAGCTTCTGCCCCCTGCCCCCGCGGGAGGGGTCGGGGAGCGGAGAAGAGCAGGCCAGGCCAGGCCAGGCCGGATTATTAATGGCACGCTGCTGCCTGCCGGAACCCCGGCAGGAACCCCGGCAGGCAGCAGTGTGCCATTAAAAATGGGCTCGTGTGCCGTCTTTGGCACACGTGCCATAAATTGCCGACCCCTGCTCTACAGATTAAATTTTGCATAAACTTTGGGAGGACAACATTAAAGAGAGTATGGGGCTCCACTTTTGTTAATGGAAGCTCAGCACAAGTCATTGAAAAGGAGGAAGTAATTTTTTCATGAAAGTTTGTAACTGCTAAAATAGAACGTGTATAAGAAGGAGAATACAAAGCACGTTTTCTCCTAGACCTTCTGTGGCAAAAAAATCATGCAGTCTGTGTATATGCAGATACTTACCTGTCTGATACATAGGCAGTAGCTGAAGAGAGTGCAACTTGGACTCTTCAATAGAGAAGACGAAAGATGACAGATCTGGAGTAAAACGTCTAGAGAAAAAACATAGGATATCAATGAGAAACCACTGCAAGACATTTAATTAGGACAAGTAAACATCAATAACTGTAGAAAATATAGTTGTTGTTCTAAGACTTCATTAGTTATTAAAAACACTATGTTCTTAGAAGTCCAACTACTAACATTTCTAATATAGCTAAGTGTGATGGAGTGTTTCCCCACACAGGTGGTGAAATGGTTGATGGGGGTCTGTGAGCCCAATTAACACATCTGATTGTCCTTGGAGGATAGGCAGGTGCAGTCAAAGAGGAGTCACAGCTAGGAGAGGAGCTGGGTGGGTTCCATAAAGGGAAGATGCTCAGAATAGACGGTGACTGCCATGAGAGGGGAAGAATGCTGTAGTCTCTCTCAGAGTACTAGATAGCAGAGGAGCTGCAGGAGGGAGTTTGCACCCCAGCCCTGATGGGAGAGGGCAGCAAGTGGGCCTGAGAGAAGGCCAACCCATAGGCAGGTGGCCTTGGGGGGTAGAGTGGAGTGGAGTTTGGGATCCAGCCTCGGGCCAAGACTTCAGGAAGTATTGCTGACTCTCAGGGGCTTTCTGCAAAAGAATGAAGAGCTAGGGATGAGCCAGGATGGATTAAAAGTTCAAGCTTTGGGAAAGGGGCATAAAAGTTTCTTTCTATGTCTTTTGGTTTGGGTTTTGAGTTTGTGAGACCCTGGGAGCCACTCAGTGCCAACTCACAGAGGGCTCACCGTACTGAGAGTCATATCAGGCCTGACACTCTGCTACCCACACCACATTGTTATCATAACTTGTATCTAAAAGAAAAGAAGTACTTGTGGCACCTTAGAGACTAACCAAATTTATTTGAGCATAAACTTTCGTGAGCTACAGCTCACTTCATCGGATGCATACTGTGGAAACTACAGAAGACATTATATACACAGAGACCATGAAACAATACCTCCTCCCACCCCACTCTCCTGCTGGTAATAGCTTATCTAATTACCAGCAGGAGAGTGGGGTGGGAGGAGGTATTGTTTCATGGTCTCTGTGTATATAATGTCTTCTGCAGTTTCCACAGTATGCATCCGATGAAGTGAGCTGTAGCTCACGAAAGCTTATGCTCAAATAAATTGGTTAGTCTCTAAGGTGCCACAAGTACTCCTTTTCTTTTTGCGAATACATACTAACACGGCTGTTACTCTAAAACCTATATCTAAAAGGGATCATGTAAGGTATCATATGTAAACTGGTGACACAGTGGTCCCTAAAAATAAATAATAATAAGAAAAATCACTGCGTGTTGTGTACAGGTGTGTGTGTGTACTGGAAACAGATTTTAAAAATGTGTTTGAGAGGCAGTGAATACACCAAACCGGACAAAGGCTAGGCAAACAAGTGTGGATTGCCTGTCCGACTGGCTTTACTATAGGTAGTGGACAATGAAAGTACATTTACATACAGTGACGGGGCAAGGCCAGATGGCTATAATAAAGTAATGGGAGACAGATATATTATCCACAGGCTAAACAAATCCCTGTTACCAGGATAAGCAAATGGCAGCTCCAGGTCAATTAAGACACCTGGGGCCAATTAAGATCTTTCCAGAAGGCAGGGAGGACAGCTAAGCTGATTGGGACACCTGAAGCCAATCAGGGGCTGGATGAAACTAGTTAAAAGCCTCCCAGGTAGTCAGGTGGGTGCGTGTGTCAGGAGCTGTAGGAGGAAGTTGTACTGTTGGAGAGACTGAGCAGTACAAACCATATCAGGCACAAGGAAGGAGGCCCTGAAGTAAGGGTGAAGTGGATCTTGAGGAAGTGGACCAGGGAATTGTACGCATCCTGTTTCTAAAAAGTCAGCTACCATAGCTGATATTATTAGGGTCCCTGGGCTAGAGCCCGGAGTAGAGGGCGGGCAAACGCTCCCTCCCTTTGCCCCCCCCCCCGATTAATCACTGAGACTGGGAGACAATAGAGACTGTGCAAGGGAGGGTAGCTTCTCCTCACCTCCCTTGCTGGCTTAGGAGAAATGAAAATGGCTCAGTAGGCTGTGACCCTTGCTTCTAGAGAGAGAAGGGCTATGTGGAGGGTCACAGTGAGCCTCGGAGGCTAGCAAAATCTGCCAGGAAACGTGGGACCCAAGCAGACAATGACAGAGCTTTGTCACAATATAAAAGGTAAACAAAGCTAATGAGCAGAGGAGACAACTTAGTGATCTTATCAGGGGACAGAATCTGCACCTCAGGACACCTTTATGGCTCTTAAGGCAGAGACAGTGGACTTTGGGTAATATAAATGGAGCAACATTTACCATGTAATTTTCCTTCACTTAGGAGACAGAGGAATCTGCGCACTCTGATCCTGTGAAAGTTGGATCCTCTTGGCCTTAGTCACTGATAACTTGCTGTGAGAAACTGTTGTAGGCAAATATATAACTGCTAGAATTAAGTTTTAGTCACTAGAGAGCATGTTTGTTTTGTTTGTAACCATACCTGTCTTTTTCTCTTGCTTAGTACCACTCAAACCTCTGTTCTTATAAATAAACTTATTCTTGTTTTATTACAAAACCAGCTCAATGCTGTGTATTAAAGTGAAGTGTGACTCTTCAGCTAACCTAACTACCTGATGTGTACACTGTCTCTCTAGAGACAGCAAACTCACTAATTTCTATGTCACAGTGACAGGGACTGTGACACTGCAGAGAGATGCCTCTGGGAGAACACAGAAACTGGGGTTCACTGTATGTTACCTGCCCAGCAGGTAGACTGATCAAGTCTTGAAAGGCAGACAAGCTGGTATGTCAGGGAGCTGACACACAGCTTAGCATCAGCAAAGCTCTCACCTGCTGAGACAGACGGGGTAGAAAAATGGCTTATAGTTCTGGGTGTCTTCAGCAGAACAACTCAGTCTGGTAAAGATTCCCAGGAGAAGCCCTGGAGCCATTACTCTGACAGAAAAGTGGAATGGAAGAGAAACCTGAAGGGGAAGATGATGTTGTATTGATGACTGGTGTCAAGTTGGATACTGTCCATTTGGGACGTTGATATCCCAGGAGGGAGGACACTTTAAAGTGACCTGGATGGAGGGCTAGTTTGAGAAAAGAGACCACTCCAGAGCCTTAGCAACTGTCAGCAGGGGGGACACAATAATGGAAACTATATGACACACACAGGTTCCACCACTATATGCACAGCAGCCTCAAGAGACCTCTAAACAGGATAATTTCTATCTGCTTGTTTACAACAAAACCTCTGGGTACCAGAGATGGGAAATAAGTAAGCAAGACATAGCAATGGATTTGCACCCCATTTTAACTATACTAGTCCCCTGTTTTCTTTATTCATCTGAACTACAGCCAGTACTTTCCATCTCAGATTCTAGTCTTCTCTTTCTCCTCTCCAGCTTGCCAATCACTTTCTTCAATGTCTTACTTTGGAATTTACTGTTGAGCAGGAACTCTTGTCATAATTCAGCTTGCCCAATAGCTTTGATAGCTAATAAAATGAAATAGCAGCCCTTTTACTTAGGGCTTTTAATCCCATGAGTTCAGAACGTTCTGCAGGGTTAATTGTCTCTTTTTTCTGGTTGGAAACAGAGGGACTGAGCACATACAAATCCAGCTGCAGTTGATGAAAGCTGAACATAGTCCACACCTTTGAAAGTCAGGCCCCAAGTGTCTTGACTGAGGTCACACAGCAAGTCAACAGCAGTGCCCTGTTGATTGGAATATGTAGCCTCTACCAAGAAAGGGCCAAAACTAGAATAAGGTTCCAACACTGTGGACAGAATGCATTTCTAGGATCAGTGAGACAATGCAAAGCCAATGCAGGGAGGGTCTCAGTACCCTTCTCCATAACACAAGAGAAGCTACTGTGGAAGCTCTGTACACTGCCCACAGAGACGGGATGTGAAGTAGGGATATTTGAAACACAACCAGAAGATTTATATACACCGCAATTCCATTGTGGAATGGAACAGCAGGCCACATTCCCTGCAGAAACTGACTATAGGCTAGCTAGGTGGATTTGAAAGCCCTGAGGAATGAGACAGGGATGGGTTTGAGGATACCTTCCCTCAGTGTTTCAGAGCAATTTCCTTAAACCTAAACCCATTTATTCAGGCTTTGCTCTATTTAAAAGGATTCTGCCGTACAGGAAATGAACTATGGCTTATTTCATGCCCCCCCCAAAGGCAAAATATCAACACGATATAGGCACACACATGCCATATAGTGTCAAGTGCAATTTTTATTACCTGTATAGGAGGTACCGCACTTGGAAATATTCTGTGTCTTCCTTAGCTAACCCTGTTGATTCCAGTGTTACCAGTACTCCGCATAGTCTGCTTTCCTCCCCAAGTAGTTCCATGGGCTTCTGACAGATGACAAAGTCATCCGACTCAAGCTGGGAAGAAAAGGCTGAAGGAACTTCATCTTTTACACCTTAAACAATTAAAATATTGTATCAGTTTTCCAAACCGGTATCATGCAAATCTCAGCAACAGAAGAATAAGATGAGAGAGTGTTCAGTTAAATACTTCAAGGGCAGAGACGTAATTCGTATCAGCCTCAAACTGTAGGGATTTTGGTTTGGTAATAAAACTGTTGGTTCTTTTCAATCTTTAAATGTTAGAGAACCTAAAAGTCCAGGGTAATGACAGAGAACAACTATATTTCCCAATATAGAGAAAGAGCAGTGTGATTTTTGGAGAAAGTGGTAGATTTTTATATAAACATTGTGTGAGCATTCAGAAGTGTGTCTGCCCTAACACAAGTAACACTGAGCTGAGAGAAGCAACTAGAATGGAATGCTGAATGTGGTCTTAGCATCACTTTTCCTCAAGCAAGTAGTGCTCAAAAGACCCAGAAAGAGGTCTGAAATTGCCAATTAATTGTAAGTAACAGAAGAACTACAGGCATCCTTCCTGTCATCTGAGGAAGTTCAAACCTATCCTTGCAAGCTATGAGAAATTTAAATGGGAAACCTGTCAACTTGCCTTTTTGCCCCCCACACTATGATTTAATTTTTAAAAATTCTAGTTTCTGATAATTTTATGCAATGCAGCCTGAATTATTTGTATTTTAAAATTCCTTTTAAAATAAAAGATTTTAGGGCATCCTGTTGATGTTTATAGGATCTTTTCAGCAACTGACTAAACAGGAAAGCATTGAAGCTGACTATGCACAAAGTGCTGACAAATATGAAAATATTAGTTCAGTCTTTTGCTTTGACTCCTTTCCGTTATAGGCCCTGATCCTGCAAGCATGTATGCAAGTGCATACCTTTATTCATATCAGTAGTCTCAACGAAGAACAGCTAAGCATGTGTGCAAGTGTTTGCAGGACTGAGGCATAATCATTTTGGTGTTCCGTGTAAATACAAAAGGTATAAAATTTTCAGACAAATGCAATATTAAACTGATGGTGTCCCTCTAAGATGTTCTGAAAAAGTTTTTTAGAGCAACCAACTTCCTTGAGCACACTTTGAAACTAATACAAGTCAATCTCAAAATTTATGAAAAGGAAAATTAAATTCCGTATTTACCTTCATCTACAAGCTTTTCTGGTGCTTTGACTTTATCTGCACATAGATCAGTATTATCTGCACCTTTATGAACAGGTTCCAGCTTCAGGATTAAAACATCCAACTCTGTTGTTAGAGCTATGTACCCCGCACAAAATGCTACTTCTGTAGGGGTGACATTATCGATGTGCAAAATTAAGGAGAGTTCAAAATCCAGTACAGTCAGATCCTGATTTATGACATGATATTTCAAGCAGAACATGACCAGTTTATTTTTGCAGCCAACAAGAAGATCTCCATTTACAGGACAACACGAAATGCACAATGGTGGATCTGAAAGAGGCATTTCCACAATTGACATCTGGACTTTAGAAGATTCACTGTATGACTCTTCCATCTTGTGACCCATCATCCGGACACAAACTCGAGTGTTCCCTGTTGACATGCATCTCCAATTCAAATAAGCTCGTAGGAAGGTGGCCTTGTTTTTCTCCTCTATTGTCACCAAATAATCTCCTGAAAAGAGAGCAACAATACTGTGGTAATACTAACCCATAGATGAGAAATAATTTATGCTGTTTGCATCCTATTGCTGCTAAATCCAATGCACTTTGACTAAAAGAATTATGGAATTAAGCAAATTTGTAAAATCTGTCTGAAATGTTATTCCTGTTACCAGATAATTGTCATTAATAAAAAGGGTTAAAACTATAAGCACAGTTAATTTTATAAACTCCTACGTCATCATAAAAGCAATGTAGTGGTAAAGGATTCCTACCCCAAAGAAATACAATTTGTTTGCCAGAGTTCTGTGCTATTGTCAGCAGTACTTAATAATAAATTTACAATACTTTTAATGTGAATTATCTAGGCCAGCATGCACTTGAGAAGTTTATATAAATCTGGAGTATCTCAGTTAACTTTACAGAAAGTGTACTAGTACATATGTTATGAAAATTTTTAAAAATTACCATTGAATCTAGACTTCAGTAGGTGCACAAGGAATGTAGGATCAAGTGCTTTTATTCCCTAATCCTAGTATTACTTTTTCTTGCTAACCAGAAGTAAAGTTTCCAAAGACCTCTTTTGAAACAGAATTCAAGGCTACAGTAAAGAACAGTGTAGTCAACACCTCTGCCCTTTTCCAGGCAGATGATCATCTTACCACTCTGTAGTTCAATCTTTAGTTTTAATCATGGGAAAAACTCAGCTAGGAGGAAAGAGTTCAGTCTGGAGAGAGAGAGAGAGAGCTGGAGAGAGAGAGAGAAAAAAAAGGGGGTGTGTGTCCTCTTACTAAAAATAAATTCAGCAGACTATGCAAAGGCAGCATACACTTTAAAAAAAAAAAAGTCTCCTGTTTAGGTTCACACTTAACAGACAATATGTTTACCCTACAAACAAAGATTTATAATGATCAAGGTGTTCATGGCAGTGGTGTATGTTTTAGGCTGAATGGTGAACTGCAAGAAGTTTTCCGAGGAGTCAAAAACTTGTTTGAAAGATTCCAAAAGAGGTAATAGTGTGAAAATATGGTGCTTAAAATCCTGAGAAATCTGAGCTGAACATTTCTTAGCCAGAGTGAAGCACATCCCAAGTACCATAAGAATAAAGGGAATGAAGACAAAGTTTTAGGGCTCGACACAAAAACCTAATAGTTGGTTCCCTTTCCATCCCCCAGCACTCTCATTAGGAGTCAGCCAGCCAATGCTTCGCTAGGTGAAGACAATAGGAAATCAGGAAGAGAAGTCAGCAGGAGTTAATACCTCAAAGATGGCTAGGAAAGTTGGGATCTGGCTAAGGACACTTCCACTATATGTGATATAATGCTCAGAAAGCTAGGGAAAGTACACACACTTCACCTCTTAAAAAAAGAGAGGCATAAGAACACTAAGCATACTTCCTCCAGCACTCCTGCCTCCTTCCACACACTCTGCAGGCAAAATCATCCACTGCTCACTGGACAGTGGGGTGGGAGGAGGTATTGTTTCATATTCTCTGTGTATATATAAAGTCTGCTACAGTTTCCACGGTATGCATCTGATGAAGTGAGCTGTAGCTCACGAAAGCTCATGCTCAAATAAATTGGTTAGTCTCTAAGGTGCCACAAGTACTCCTTTTCTTTTTGCGAATACAGACTAACACGGCTGTTACTCTGAAACCTGTCACTCAGTTCTGTATCCCATGGCTCCATTGGTCCCATAGCTCTAGCTCATAGAGCAAAAGTAGAGTCCTTAGAATTCAATGGCCCTTTCTAACCTTTCTTTCTATGGCACTTGAGAGCTCATCCAGTCCCTGATCCTGCCATCAGATCTGTGCCATGAGTCCCCTGAAATCCCCTCCCATCCATCCCCATCATTTTCAACAAAGGAGGAATCAGATGCAACCATACAATATCCTTTTGCTGGGGGGGGGGGAGGGAGGGCTTGTTCAATGAACAGGGGAAGCAACTGAAAAACCAAGAGTGGAAGGTGGAACTGACAGAAGAAACAACGCCTGAAGAAGAGGACTGTGTAACTTGTCTCTCTCACCAACAGCAGTTGGTCCAATAAAAGACACTAGCTACCTCAGCCTCCTTGTCTCAAAAGAACCAAGTCATTTTTAGTGGCATAGAGCTGAGGAAGGGCTGTACTTCCCCATCGGCCCCACCAGGTTGCCACTGGCCCAGTCGTTTCCAGCACCACCCTGAGTTTTGCAAGATGAAACTGCATTCACAGGACCCAGAACCTGTGACAACATCGCTTTGGGCATATCACCTTGTGCCCCCTGCGCAGAGCCACCCCACCTTCCCGCCGCGTCCCCACAGGGCGACAGCCGGACACGACGGCCCTGTGGGGACACCGGAGTTTGCCCCACGGAGTCGGTGCCGCCCCAGTCCCGGCTCTTACCCGCCTCGCTGTAAGCCATGTGCAGCACCCGGCCCAGCGTGTTGAAACAGCCGAGCGGCTCGCAGAGCTCCTGGTCGCCCACAGCAAACGCCTCCACCTTGCAGCCGGCCGCCGCGCAGGCCACCAGCAGCGCACCCCGGCCGCAGCAGAACAGCGCCGGCTCCTGCTTGCTGGGCACCACCTGCTGCGAGCCGAACGGGTGCAGGTTGTAGAGCTGCACCATGGCGCCCTCCTGAGCGGGGCACCGGAACCAACCCGCATTCCACGGCCCAGGGCAGGCTGCAGCCCGGGGACCCCCAGACACCAACTCCACCCGCGCAGACTGAGAGAGCAGGGGAGACTGCCCCTTCCGCAACGTGCGCCGCCCTGTCCCGGTCAGGTGGGGAGCGACGTCAGCGCCTGCGGCGCCGGCCGGGGCTTCCCAAAGGGACAGCATCTGCGTTGGAGCCCAAACGAGCACAGACCTAGGGAGGGTAGATATGTGCGTCCCGATGTGCTCAGCTAGGGGGTGCACGCTTTTGTGGGTGTATCAGTTACACGTGCATGTGTGTTCGCAATGCGCGTCCGTGTGAGCGTTTGCGCACAGCGGCTAGTACACACATCGTGTGTGGATCTACATCTGCGGGTGCTAGTGTGCATATCAGTGCCCTCGCTTGTGTCAACGTGCCTGTCAGTGTTTGTATATCTGTGTGCGCACCAGTGTGCTTGCACAGCTCTTAGTGTCCGCATTTGTGTGGGTGTTATAGGGTGCCTATCACAGCATGGGCCGCGGGTGTATATCTCTGTGTTAGCACATCTGTCAGTGTGTGCTTATCTGTGCCTTGACAGGTACACATCAATCTGGCCCCTTGCTGAGGCAGATGTAGAGAGACATACTTCTGAGTGATAGGCCAAACACAAAAGGACTTTTGATATGTCTGAGGCAGGGTTGGAAATAGTGTTTTTGAAACAAACAGAGATAAAGCTGCTGAATGAAGGTGTGGAGACACAGGTCTTTAGCTGGAGTTCAAAAAGTGGAATCACGTGTGAAACTTGCTGTTTATTTGATCTTTACTGAAAGGCAAAAATATTTGTGAATAAAATAGAGTAGAAAGAAAGTATTCTGTATCTGCTCATTGACGAATTAAACACTCCAGAAGCCCAACTTTTCTTTAGACTCAGAGGTCTGGACAATGAGGAGCACAGATGAGAATTTTAGAACTTAAAAGCAAAGAAATGGCAAGTTTTTCAGTGCAGTCATTCTTTTCTTTGTTAGGCATGTTCTAGCTCTTGTGTACTCAGCAAATAAATATTTACAAGTACCTCTAAAATACATTTAATTTACCTTTGGATGGCTTTATAATTGCTTTACTGACACTTACAGAACCTAAAACATCGTCATATGTCCATAATATGTTTTCTCTCCTCTGGCTTTTAAAGCTTTTCCTTTTGTGCCAGAAATCTGGTTATAGAAACAAAAGATTAGATTGTTTTCTCCAATGCCTCAGGCATACAGAATCAGTTACAGCCAAGATAGTCACTAGGATCTTCAGCTGAGAGTCATATGATTATATATCCTTGCATTCTCCATAAATCAACATGAATTGCACTTGCTCTCACATGACATTTCAAAAGTTTTCTCTAATCCCTTAATGGGATATGATCTGAAAAGCCTATTATAACTGAATGAAGCCCCTTTGCAAAGGAAACTTCAGTATAATGAAAAAATCCTGAGTTTAATTTGTCTAATGATGTATTTCCAGCCACTTTAAAAAAGAAAACAGTTAAAGGAGGCAAGGATAAATATTAGGGCTGTCAAATAATTTAAAAAACCCTCATTTGCGAGATTAAAAAATAGTCGCTATTAATAGCAGTTTTAATCCTACTGTTAATAATAGAATGCCAAATTAAATTCAGCATGGAAGCATGTCCTCTGGAATGGTGGTCGAAGCATGAAGGGGTATATGAACGTTTAGCATATCTGGTATGTAAATACCTTGCAATGCCTGCTACAACAGTGCCATGTGAATGCCTGTTTACACTTTCAGATGACATTGTAAATAAGCGGGCAGCATTATCTCCTGTAAATGTAAACAAACTTGTTTGTCCTAGTGATTGGCTGAACAAGAAGTAGGACTGACTGGACTTATAGGTTCTAAAGTTTTGCATTGTTTTGTTTTTGAGTGCAGTTATGTGAAAAAAATGTACATTTGTAAATTGTACTTTCACAATAAAGAGATTGCACTATAGTACTTGCATGAGGTGAGTTGAAAAATACTGTTTCTTTTATCTTTTTTACAGTGCAAATATTTATAATAAAATAATATAAATTGAGCACTGTACACTTTGTATTTTGTGTTGTAATTGAAATCAATATATTTGAAAATGTAGAAAAACATCCACAAATATTTATAATAAATGTAAATTGGTATTCTATTTTTTAACAGTGTGATTACTCAGTGTAGCAACTCATGGTATCAGATGCCATCAGGTGGTCGAGGGATATCTATTTAGAACACATCAGTGGACATCAGCAATACCAGGAGTGATGAGCTGAAGTACTGTTGAGAAGCGAAATCAAGAAAATAACTGGAATATTTCTCTGATGGATTGTAGCTACCGAAGGACAACCTATCCTAAATGTTAGACTCAATCACTAATGGACAAACTGCACTCATTGCTATATTTGTTTTCCACAAGCTACTCTCTCTATAACCTTTCATGAGTGATGTACCCAAATATTTGGATGCTAATATCTAAACTGTATAGTTAAGTTTATTAACCTAAATTTAGGTTATTGCAAGTTATGTAGTATAAGTATTGTATGACTTTTAAATCAAACTTTGTACTTTTGGACAATTTAAGCCCTATACCCAGATGTACAGACACTCTTTCCTTAACCTGTGAATTATATAATTTTAACATTAGCTTTAATAAAAAAAAAAATTAAATTACCATGTGAAAAGTTAGTGTCTATAACAGGGTTGGCAACCTTCGGCCCACGGCCCACCAGGGTAATCCGCTTGTGGGCCGCGAGACATTTTGTTTACATTGACCATCCACAGGCATGGCCCCCCGCAGCTCCAAGTGGCTGAGGTTCTCCATTCCCAGAGATCCATTTGGTGAGGGAAAAGAATTATTGTCCTGAACCTGAGGCTTTAGAAGTAAAAAGAAAACCCTTCCATTTACCTCAATGGGCTTTAGTAGAATCAGCTTAAATGCGTCGAGAGAACCACTGGCTCACTACTTTTATTTTTTTGGGAAAATAATAAAAATTAATATGGAATTTTAAAAACTGGGACATCTTAAACCTAGCAATCTTTCAGTGGCCTGTCATCGAAGGAAAATCAGATCAGTAGGGACATCTGCTGTTCAGAAAGCAGTACTCCAAGAACATTTCCATTACACACTTTTGTCCTATTTTTTCCTTTTGAAAGTTATAATCTTTATTTGAATAGTTCACTGATAAATAATTTGGTAATGGCTAATTTAGTTAATGACTGTAACTTCTAGGGCTGTCAATTAATCTCAGTTAACTCATACTATTAACTAAAAAAATTAATCGCGATTAAAAAAATTAATCGCGATTAATCACAGTTTTAGTCACACTGTTAAACAATAGAATATCAATTAAAATTTATTAAATATTTTGGATTTTTTCTACTTGTAACTGAAATCAAAGTGTATATTATTTTTGATTACAAAATATTTGCACTGTAAAAATGATAAAAGAAATAGTATTTTTCAATTCACCTCATACAAGTACTGTAGTTCAGTCTCTTTGTTATGAAAGTGCAATTTACAAATGTAGATTATTTTTGTTACATAACTGCACTCAAAAACAAAACAATGCAAAACTTTAGAGACTACAAGTCCACTCAGTCCTACTTCTTGTTCAGCCAATCACTAAGACAAACAAGTTTGTTTACATTTACAAGAGATAATGCTGGCCTCTTCTTATTTACGTCACCAGAAAGTGAGAACAGGTATTTGCATGGCACTTTTGTGGCTGGCATTGCAAGGTATTTACGTTCCAGATATGCTAAACATTCGTATGTCCCTTCATGCTTCAGCCACCATTCCAGAGGACATGCTTCCATGCTGATGATGCTCGTTAAAAAAATAATGTGTTTATTAAATTTGTGACTGAACTCCTGGGGGGAGAATTGTATGCCTCCTCCTCTGTTTTACCCACATTCTGCCATATATTTCATGTTATAGCAGTCTCAGATGATGACCCAGTACATGATCATTTTAAGAACACTTTCCCTGCAGATTTGACAAAACGCAAAGAAGGTGCCAATGTGATATTTCTAAAGATAGCTACATCATTCAGCCCAAGGTTTAAGAATTTGAAGTGCCGTCCAAAATCTGAGAGGGACAAGGTATGGAGCATGTTTTCAGAAGTCTTAAAAGAGCAACACTCCAATGCGGAAACTACAGAACCCGAACCACCAAAAAAGAAAAATCCACCTTTTGCTGGTGGCATCTGACTCAGATAATGAATATGAACATGTGTCAATCCGCACCGCTTTGGATTGTTATCAAGCAGAACCTGTCATCAGCATGGACACATGTCCCCTGGAATGGTGGTTGAAGCATGATGGGACATATGAATCTTTAATACAGGGGTGCTAACCTGTGGCTCTTCAGAAGTTAATATGCGGTTCCTTGTATGGGCACCGACTCTGGGGCTGGAGCTATAGGTGCCAACTTTCCAATGTGCCGGGGGGTGTTCACTGCCCAACCTCTGGCTCTGCCACAGGCCCTGCCCCCACTCCACCCCTTCCCACCCCCTCCCCTGAGCCTACCATGCCCTTGCTCCTCCCCCACTCCTCCCCCCAGAGCCTCCTGCGCACCACAAAACAGCTGATCGGGAGGTGCTGATTGGCAGGGCTGCCGGTGGGCAGGAGGCGCTGGGAATGGGAGAGAGGGGGGGAATGATGGGGGACTGTTGACGTATTACTGTGGCTCTTTGGCAATGTACATTGGTAAATTCTGGCTCTTTCTCAGGCTAAGGTTGGCCACCCCTGCTTTAATGCATCTGGCACGTAAATATCTTGCAATGCTGGCTACAAAAGTGTCATGTGAACGCCTGTTCTCACTTTCAGATGACATTGTAAACAGGAAGCGGGCAGCATTATCTCCTGCAAACAAACTTCTTTGTCTGAGCGATTGGCTGAACAAGAAGTAGGACTGAGTGGACTTGTAAGCTCTAAAGTTTTACATTGTTTTATTTTTAATGCAATTTTTTGTACACTGAATGCATCTGATGAAGTGAGCTGTAGCTCACGAAAGCTTATGCTCAAATAAATTTGTTAGTCTCTAAGGTGCCACAAGTATTCCGTTAGTTTTTGGTACATAATTCTACATTTGTA